CCATCCACCAGACTTGCTGCGGCATCCCCAGCACCAAGGTTTTGGTGATGGCTCTGGGGATCATGGAGCAGTGGTAGTGGCTGGCAGACCAAGGCAGAGTTCCTTGCACAGAGCCATTCATGGTGGTGAGGGGCTGAAAACAGATGACTTTGGTGCAGTACCCTTCATAGAACTGGTTGTGCAGAGTGCGCAGAGCCAGCAGCAACAGGCACTCGAGTTAGATCCCTTTGGAGCAGCTCCATTTCCTTCCAAACAGTAAATGCTTCCAATGGGTTTCTCCCCTGCTCTGCCTCTCCGAGTTACTTACTAGAGGTTTTAATTAGTGGAGTAATTTATCTGTTACAGGGACCTGTGTTGTACAGTTTGTTCAAGTTCAAGGAGACAGGGACAGCTTGTACAGTGAAACTTGAAACAATGGCAAATTCAGATTTTTTTTTTTGTTTGGTTTTTTTGTGGTTTGTTTTGTGTGTGTTTTTGTTTTTTTTTTTTAAATTAAAACTGATCCAGGAGCATCATTTTGTTGTGGCAGATGGCTCCTGGAATGAAAAGAGAAATTGGATATGAATAAGACAGACATTGTCTGTGACTGGGCCCTGGGACATACTGTTATTCTGCACTTTTGTGTTGCCTTTTCAATCCTCTGTGATATGCTGGGGTGGAGGGAAGGGGTCAGGCAGAGATCACACAACCAACCTTTTCTGTATGTACAGGTAGGTTACCACTGTGGTGCTTCACGTCTTGGTCGCAGTAGACCTGAGAACCAAAATCCAGCTTGATTTCCTGGAAGCAGTCAAGTCTCCGATTCTTAAAAGAAAACTAGCTTTATTAATCATGAAAATCAAGAAGTCACGTCCTCAAGGGCCTGTGGCCCAGAGTTCCAGAGCATGGCTATGGCTCAGGCCCTAGCAAACACCTATGCAGCTGCAGAGATGAAAGGCAGATTTTTTTTTTCCTGTGCCTAGATGTTCAATTTTTATTTGTATTTTACAGTTAAGTGCTGTTAATGTAAAATAGCCAACTGGAAGTGTAGAGTTAAAACTGAAGATACAGAGAATATCTCTTTGTGAGATGAAAAGCCTGAATGTAGGGGAGTAAATCAGCAGGGATGCAGCCAGTGTTTGCAGCATTTTGGAGACTACTCAGTGTGCTGAGGCTGGTATACACCGGACGTCATTTGGCACATACGGACTTTATCAGATGACTTGTACAGTTGTGAGATGCAACCATCAGATTTGATTACAAATTCGGATTTGTGTCTGAAAACACCTTTTCCTCTCAGATTTTTATTGCCAAGAAGACGTGTATTGGTTCAAATCAGTTGGCTTTTTTAAAACAATTTTATGAAAGGACTAATTTCTTTTAAGTTCTAATGAATCTGTTGCTGAACTTAAGCATGTTTTCTAAGAAAGTTTTGCTAAATGCACTGAGCTTTGAAGAAACTCTCTGCCCCCAACTCTGGGAGCAGAAACAGGAGGCAGCTGGACCAGTGCACTGCATTTCACACCACAAAGCCTTACAGGCAGGACCCCATCCTGCTTCACCAGACACCTGGTGCTGGGAGCATGTGTTACCCATAGGTGAGGGGAAGGTGATGTGAACAGCCCTGTTGAGGACAAGTTGTTACCATGCTGTTGAAGTGGGTGCTGTGTGTAGCACAGCAATGGCTTTTTCTCTGCTGCCCTGCAAGTTGTGCCAAGCACGTGTGACTCGAACAGTCCATTTGTCTGCCTTTATTCCATGGCAGTTCTACGGAGGAAGTGGAAGGAGATGGTTCCTCTGCTCGACTCAACTTTATGTCCTGCTCCGCTGAATGCTGATGAGTGGATAACTGGATGTTTATATACAGAGGACATAAGTGTTTGTGGTAGTGCATTCCCATGTCATCCCCCACCCTGCCTTTCACAGTGAAATATTTAGGGTTGTACTTGATTTTTCTAGAGAGTCTCCTGTGAGTTATCCAGGTGTCCTGAGATGTGTGATGGTAGGGGTAGATCCCTGACAATATTTGTTGAAAACAACACATAGGAGCAAGTCATTTGTCTCCTTTGGGGGTTGGTTTCTTAAAATGCTCCCTTGAATATATGTGAGATTGCTTCCTCTGATCCTGGAATTGGAAGGTATCTCGTCTGTATCTGTAGGTCTTCATTACCTTCATCATCCTTGGTTTTGTGTTCTCACAGGGTTGATATGAAATATTTCAGCTGTGCTTGAAGGCTGCCTTGTTCAGGCTTAGAAGTTAAGCTCTTAAGAGGTTAGGAGTAGAAATATTTCAACTCCATTTGCACAGGAGTGTCCTAGGCTTTACTACTGCTGTTCTCACCTGTCTGTTTGGTGCCAAAGGCTGTAAGAAGCACAGGCCAAGTTTTGTAGCAATTTCTGATACTCAGGTTAACTCTGATTTTCCTTGTTTTCTGTTCTCTGTGTGCTTATGAACTGCTTTCCTACAGTTTCCTTTGGAGCTGTTCCTTCTCTGCCTAGATAGCTGTTGAAACAGAGTGATATGACAAATGGAGCAGATGGGAGAAAAAAAGAATACAACAGGCAACTGACCCCTGGTTTTTAAATGGAGCTTTCCCTGGTGGAAAAGCAAATGGCTGAGGAGGCCCTGAACTTGGAGACAGAGGAAGGGAACAGTGTGTGTGGGGCTGAGATGTAGCTCCACTGCCCAAAAGGACACCCAGGGAAAAGGTTTAGTGTGGGCCTTAATGTCTATGTGAATGAAGAGTAGGAAATGTGTTTGGTTTTTGTCTGCTCACCCCGAGACTTCAGGCTGAGGTATGCTGCAGGTTTTCCTCGCGTGGCTGGTTGGTTTGGGTTTTGGCAGAGGTTGTGTTCCAGCACAGGAAAGTGAGGATGTCAGCAGAAACTAGAGGTGAGGTAAAAGCAAACTGCAAACCGGAGTTGCTCTAAAACTGGCAAGTTTTTCAAAAACATGCAAGTTGTGGCTGATGAGACTTGCTTTCTAATGGCCTTAATAAACCTTGTTCTGCAAATTCTAGTTATGAAACAGGTTTTTGCATAAATCTAAGTTTTATTTCTAGATTTTAAATTACTGTATCCTTTCTTGTGGCTGAAAAGAGATCAACATGCCTGGCAAAGTTGATTTTGTAGGGTATATATTGTTTATACACAGCTAAACCCAAGTTTGGGTTGAATTTCAGCCAAGATCCACTGGTCAAATGTGGTCCTGTCAGGGAACACAATATCCTTCAGCCTTTATTTCTGTGCTTGTGACCTTACCTTTAGTATAGGCAAGACCTTGCTGCACTAGACACATACCATATGAAGCCTTCACATACCTGTGAAGACAAGAATGGCAAGGTAAGTAGCTGACCCTTCCCTTCCAGCTGACACCACTTACTGATTGTTATAGCTCTCCTTTCAGCACATTGAATGACTGAACCCCAGGCCTTTTAGAATCAGCTGCTTGAGAGAGATTCTATTGAAAGATACGAAGAAGTCCTTAATGATTGTGGTTTTTGGAAAGAAAAGGTAGTAGTGTTTCCCTGCAGTGTCCCATGCTGCCAGATGTGTGCAATGGCTTTGACTGACCCGCATCACCATGAATACCATGTTGGGAGGATGGAAATTCTCATTATTCGGGGTGTTCAAACTTAGAAAAACCAAGTACTGTGAAAATAAGTTGATATATTTGCTACTGTGAGAATAAGAGTTTATCTGGAGTTTTTTTATACTATATTGTGTATTTTTATATATGAAAAGTATATATAAAACATACACATGTTCGCACACGTCCTGTATCTCTTGAAGTAGCTGTGTTTTTAGTAACACAGCAGCCACAATCACTTCTGTGTGACTTGAGGGAGTGATCAGGAGTGAAAGCACCAAGAGGAAAAAGAAGTCGGAAGGGTGGCTGCTGCATTACTGCTCCGTAGTGCTTATTTCAAAAGGAAAAGCAAAGAAATTGCGTGTGTAGCTCAATTTGTGACTAAGACATCACCTAATACGAAAAGAGCATAAAAACTGTTTTTAAATTGCTGGCATTCAGCTTTTAAGTGCACTTTCCTGAACTACACTTCCACTTCTTGTTAAATTTCAAGTTTCTGAAGCTTTTTTGTGTACCACTAAACAGAGAACTTTTAACTTTTTTTGTGCAACTGATGTATGTCATGAAACACTTGCAGTTGTCAAATAAACAAATGTGGTAACAGTGACTTTCACATCTCGTTAGAAGTATTCACCTTTAGTCTGTAATTCACCTGCGTGCTGCTTCTTCTGCTTTTTGTAGCTGCAGGATCCTGTCACTCTTCAAAAAATGTTTTAAGGTACTTTTTTTAGTTCGCTGCCCAGCCAGCTTTCTCTGTCCACCTTGTTAAAACTGAGGGAGCTGGGTCTCTATAGTTTAGAGAAGAGGAGACTGAGGGGTGACCTTATTAGTGTATATAAATATATAAAGGGGGAGTGTCACGAGGATGGAGCCAGGCTCTACTCAGTGGCAAACAATGATAGGACAAGGGGTAATGGGTACAAACTGGAACACAAGAGGTTCCACTTAAACTTGAGAAGAAACTTCTTCTCAGTGAGGGTGACGGAACACTGGAACAGGCTGCCCAGGGAGGTTGTGGAGTCTCCTTCCCTGGAGACATTCAAAACCCGCCTGGACACATTCCTGTGTAACATTATCTAGGTGTTCCTGATCCGGCAGGGGGATTGGACTAGATGATCTTTCGAGGTCCCTTCCAATCTCTAGCATACTGTGATACTGTGAAAACCTGTTGATCAGATTCTAGTTGCAATTTGTTAGGTTCAGTATTACTTGCTAACGCCTACAAAACACCGTACCACTAGTAGAATACACTACGTGCAGTGCTGGAGTAGTGCAGTTGGAACACCCGCCCTGTGCCTCCATGCTGTGGGAATTCAAGAGCTGGTCCACCTGTCTGTAAAACACAGGGGAGGTGACAGATGTTGTGTGGTTGAGCAATTTGCATCTGTGGCTCTGCTGTGTGAGATGCAAGAATGATGTTACTTCAAGGGAATGGCCAATGAAGTGGAATTTATTTACAGGTTCAGTACATACATAGAAGACCATCATGCAACTTGATAAAGTTCAGGGTAATAAAAATGTATATCTTGGCAGTCAGTTTCCTGATCCAGTGAAAACTGCTACAGTAGGTAAGAGTTGACATAAAAATACCTTAGAACTATCAAGTCAGTATGCTCTCAATACACAAACACGTTCTTAAAATTTATTTTTTTTTCACATGACATTGGAAATTGGTTTTTCTACTTGCCGGTTCCTCCTCAGGCTTCAGCAGTAGTAATTAGTGCACTTAGAACTTGCTTGGCTGTCAAATTAAAAATAAATAAATAAAAAAAAATCAGTGTTTACACTGAAAGGCTCAAGGTCAGGGAGTTGATTCTCAAAGGCAAAGTCAGTTCTCACTACTTTTTCCTGGAGTTGGAAAAACCCCACAACAACCCACTGAACTTAAGAGATGGTTGGCGTTACACTCCAGCACATCAGGAGAGAAGTTGGTGTCCTGCCTTCTCCACCCCTAACTAGATTTCAGGTGCCTGACAGTAAGGTTTCATGAGTTTTCTGTGTGTCACTGGCACAGCCCTGACAGGGAAGGCTGGGGGAGCTGGGCTGGTGAAGGCTGGAGAAGAGGCAGCATTGGCGGACCCAAGAGCAGCCTGTCTGCCCCGAGGAGGACACTGCACCAAGGCAGCCCTCTTCCCCTCCCTGTGAGCTAAAACTTATGGTGGAAATCCCTCCCTAAAGGGAAGGGAACAGCAATGACAAAGGCAAGAGTGCATTAAGGGCTTCTCGTGTGTTACAGAGCTCTTAGCATGTTGCCTTAAGGGTTTACTCCCCTGTGTTTTGGCCTCAGGAGTAAGAGAACTTGTCTGAAATCCTGCCAGGCCATATCTGCGTGTTTTAAGATGGCTGGTGTCAGAGGATCACAAAAGATGAGAAGTTTGCTGGGATGCTCTCAAAGGCCACCCTGCAGGTAACAAGGGCAGCTGGGACACTTAATCTCAGACCAGAATGTTTCTGCCTGGCATTAAAGCAGAAACAAGGTTATCTCCTGCTTTCCAACACCAGCCATGCTGATGCCACCTCATCCTTCCAACAGCTCTTCTCCTAAACAAGCCACATGGTAACAGCACCTTGAGGCAAGCAAAGGACTCTCCACAGGGCTAGTGCTGACTACTGGCTGGATCATGTGAAGAATCAGCATTTGCTACCACTATTCAACTGGACTATGAACACAAGTACAACTGCTACACAGAAGTCGCTTAAAAACACTGATTCTAATCCCCAAATCCAACGAATTCCAATCCTGTTGGAAAAATGGCACCCCTCAGGTTAATTATGCTACAGCTACTAATAACCTCCGCATTCTGTGTTTCCCTAATGTTTGTAAGTTATAAACTCCCTAAAGTTTCTTAGAGTTGGTTTCAGGACATTCTAAAGCCAAAGGCAACCTTTTTACTGCAGCAGGCTTATGGCAATCAAGTTATTTTCGGTAACAAATTCTGCAAGTACAGTACTGCACATCCCACAGTAAAAGGCCAACAGACAGTGATTTGAATCCCCAGCAGGTTCCCCACTTGGGATGTGTTATTTCAGCCTATTAAACAAATGTAACTTTAATTCTTAGCAACTCTGCTGATGAGCACACAGGTTTAGCACTGCTTCTGAAGTACTTTAGAACTGATTCCAAATTGCTGGAGGAATCTAGAGAGATCTCTTGAAGTTAATGGCACTATCTATATTGGCAAGTTTTAGGATCTGAAAGGAAGGGGTGGCTGTGGTGGATAACACCTGATCTTATCTTCCAGAAAAAGAAGAGCTTGTCCAAGGAAGTAAAAGAGATACTCAATATGTTACTGTGCTAACGCTGAAGAAAGTCATTCAGATAAAGATGCTGTGGTTGCAACACGCTGTACCACTGTGATTTAGATCCAGCACCAAGCCCCCCAGTTACTGTGGGCTTACACACACACAGCCAGGAGCTGTGTCTTAATGATGCACTTGAATCAAACCTCCGTACTGGGTATGTGGGCTGGGGAGCTCAGCAGGTTTCACTCAGTTCCGTCGTTTTTGTCTCCCAAGCAGAACAAATGCTGAGTCTTACAGCCCATCTTTCCATTGTCACACTCCAGGAAGACCTATTTTATACTGGAATGCAGAACAGGAAGGAAATGCAGCTCAGATCCCAGGCCACGCTGTTCGTTTTTTCAAGCGTCACCATAACCCAACAGCAACCAGGCAGCAGTCCAGAAGTCAGAAAAGGAACTGCCTCAGTGCTTCACCTCGTAACAGCTCAGCAGGTAAGGTGCAGACCTCAAAGTCAGAAATTTCATCTGAAATACAGTGGGAAACCAAGTTCAGTCACTATCTATATGGAATCACGGAATGGTTTGGGTTAGAAAGGACCTTCAGATGATCTAGTTCCAACCCCCTGCCATGAGCAGGGATGCCTCACACTAGACCGTGTTGCCCGAGACTGTGCAACCTGGCCTTGAGCACTGCCACAGATGGAGCATTCACCACTGATCAACTCTTACCCAATTAACAAAAAATCCAGCTCAATACTTAGTAGACTGAAAACCTGACAAAACCTGAGGACAAGACTACTTGGGAACAAAGGCTAATGACAGTTTGAGGCTATTACATTGTGGAACAGAGCTGAAAGGGATCTGGCAGAGCCCTGTCCAGTCTGCTCCAGGACTGCTCAAGGATACTGCAGCCTCATGTAACACAGCAGTAGAAATGAGCAGGCCCTGGCCTCAAGATCACCACTTTTTTCTTTACCACAAGTACTACAGCAGCCATCATTTCCTTTGGGGAAACTAATGAGGGAGATTGACTGAAACTTGGGACAGGAGTACTTAACCCTACACTTGTTAGAAAACCCTATTCCCAATAGTATGAGAGCTGCTGTACCTTCACTCACAAGCCTGGGCTATACTCAGGACAGGGCTGGCTGTGTCGGTATTGCATGATGTACACTGTGGACTGATGCCACCAGTACAGCATCACCACCGCAAGGATATGCCACACTTGGTGACTTGAGCCGAGGTAGTTCAGCTGGCCTGTGGGCAAGAGAAAGGGCAGTGGTCAAGTCATTCCATTTGGCAATAACTCATGCTATGCAACTAGCAATCGGTCTCCTCCAGACCTCAACTACACAGGCCACTTGCAGGGAAGCACCGCAGTTTCTCTAACGAACTTGATCCCAAGTTGTTGGTCACCTTTGGATGCAAGTACACACAGTGTTTTACTCTACAGAACACTTCATGGGGAATGTGGTCACTCTGTTCTCTCACAAGAAGGTGAGGACTCATAGCAAGGACTGTGACACTGCAGGAAGCTAAACTGCAGAAAAAAACCAAAACCATCCAGAAGAGAATTTCCTACCTGGGAAGTATCTTTCTGGAACTTTGGAAATATAGAAGAGAAAAGCTACAGCAGCGATGAAGTACATGACAACTACACGCGGAGCAAACTCCTGCAAAAGAAAAGGAAGCTCTCCTATTCTTGTAGAAAGTAAAAATAGCAAAAAATAAAGTCCTTACAAATGAAAAAGGCATGACAAAATTGCATCTTACTTTACTGCCTATGTTATCTACAGACAAAATCCAAGAGGAAAGCAAATGCCCAAGTACGAGACAATCTGAATGGGAAGAAACTTGTTTTATTATGCCCTCTCTGCTTCAGTACATAAGCTACTTGGTATTTCTGCAGCCTGCAGACGACATGACATCTCTCAGTCAAAGGACATCTTCCAGTACACTGAGCTATCACACGATAAGTGAGACTTCAGTGGAAGATCTCATTTACCAGTTGGGATTCTGCTATACAAGGAGACACTAAATGGGGGAAGATGTGGGGGGGACAACTACAGTTTATCTGGTTTTGCAAAAGCCAGTGTCAAGTGCCCTGTCTAAAGACTACATATATTCATAAATGTTGCTCTTCCATGCTGAAGAGTAGCTCTGGACTAGGCTAAGCCCCAGCAGAGGCTCAGTGACAGCCCTCCAGCAGAACACAAACAGAATCAAGTAGGTTGGAAAAGACCTTTAAGATCATCTAGTCAAACCTTCACCCCAGGACTGCCAAGCACAGTTACTACTCACTCTGACAAAATATCTTTTTTTCAGGACAGTTAGGTCCACTGGGGAGCTGCAATATGATTTTAGGGGTATTCATATTGGGGCATAAATTACTGTCTCCAGCGGCACTGTGCTGGTTGTTCCCCAGAGCATAATTCTAAGTGGTAATAAAACAAGAACAGGAAAATAGTTCGGTTACTTTATGGTGATGTGAAATGATGGCTGTGTAAGAGATAGAGAGCTGAACAGGCAAATACTGATTTTTGCTGCCAACCTAGGGGACAGAAGAGGAAGTCAGTACTCATTCCATCAGTGTATCTCAGTTCCCCTGTCTCCTCTGGAGCCGTGGTGGCTCCACAGTCTATTCAGCTCTTAGATCCTGCCCCTCTCCCTGGGGTGAGCCAAGGGAGAATGTTCCCACAGGGTATGCTCAGTTCTTCAGGCATATATGCCCAGTCACCCTTGCATCCACTTTTCCTTCTCACAGTGCGCTTTTACATCAGATCTATTCTACTCAACCCGTTCACTGCTTCTCAATAAACTTCTAAGTAATTGCATTTAGATTGGATGGTCTGAAAGAAGTCTGTGCTGCTTCCCCCTCATTTTTCAAAGTGTAAGAGGACTGAAGGAAAAGCAAAAGGTAAAAGGGAACCTTATTTCCCTCTTTTTCTCTTTTACCTGTACAACAGATGCACCAATGCCGCCGTTGAGCCAAACCCAGTGGATGGTGGGAATGATTCCATATCCAGACACAGAGCAGAAGATGATGGAGCGAAGTCTGTGCCACTGTTGTGTGAGGTAACTGGGATGAATCTGAGCAAAAAACACTGCCAAGACCATTGCCAGCACAGTGATTAAATATACCTGACGCCAGTACTGAGAAGAAAGAAACAAAAGCAAGTTTGTGAGTTTTCTCATCAGGTGTAAAAGTAAACTATGGGTAGAAAGCTCACAGTATGAAATATAATGATATATCAAATCTCCTGTCACTGCTGTGAGCACCAAGAGGAGTTTGAATGAATGGACTTGTGAATTGACTGACAGGGAGGGGAAAGGATTCTGTCCCCCAGGTACATATGTCAGAACACGTGGTGCCTTCACTTTAAACCCACCTCTCCCTTGGCAGACTCGTTCAGCTGCAGGCATGGATGTAGTCTAGGCCTTCAACAGGGAACCTGTTTTACTTGTCTTCTATTAGATCAAGAGAAAATGAGCTTGTTTCTGCCTCATGCAAGCTATCTAACGGGAAATGATGTTTGAATTACTTGTGATGGGGACACATCCCATCATCAGTCTCAGGCCTGTGACAAAGACACGACCTGGGACCTGTACCCTGCCTTCATATGAATTCAGGTATTTTCTTGAGGCTTATAGAAGTGACACCTTGAAAGGAAATCTCAATTTGCACATCACTTCAGGTTGTGGAGTTCTGTCTGAAAGGAACTGGCTTCGGTTTCCATCACTGCCTCCTGCCTACCGTTCACCCACTTCCTACAGTGTGGAGGCTATGCCACTGAGACCACAGGAACTAAACAAGCACTTCAGACTTACATTACTACAGTAAAATGCATAAAAGACGCCTGATACATAACAGCCCAGGATCCCGACGGAAATTCCTGCATAATCTAATGCCATCCATCGCCGGCTGGTCTTCTCTGAGCGGTGACAACAGAAAAGATGATATCCTACTGAGCAGAGCATGCACACCTAGGCAAAGGTTCAAACAGGGATGCATTAATGTCTTAAATATTAACAGGGGCTACAATAAGTTTAAGCTCTGAACTTTAGAGCATCCTACTGACCCCCTACACGTTTTGCAGTGCAACCTGGTGTAGGCAATTATGGTTCCTGTCCGTAATCACAGAATGGTTTGGGTTGGAAAGGACCTTAAGATCATCTAGTTACAATCCCCTGCCATGGGCAGGGATGTCTCACACTAGACCATGTCACCCAAGGCTCTGTCCAGCCTGGCCTTGAACACTGCCAGGGATGGAGCATTCACCACTTCTCTGGGCAACCTGTACCAGTGCCTCACCACCCTCGCAGTAAAGAACTTCTTACTTAGATCCTGAACTTCCCCTGTTTCAGTTTAAGTCCATCACCTCTTGTCCTTTCACTACAGTACCTGATGAAAAGTCCTCTCTCGGGCATCCTTACAGGCCTTCCTCAGATACTGGAAGGTTGCTATGAGGTCTCCATGCAGCTTCTCCAGGCTGAACAGCCCACACTTTCTCAGCCTGTCTTCATACAGGAGGTGCTCCAGCCCCTGATCATCCCCATGGCCTCCTCTGGACTTGTTCCAACAGCTCCATGTCCTTATGTTGAGGACAGCAGAACTCTACACTGTGCTACAAATGGGGTCTCACGAGAGCAGAGCAGGAGCACAGCATCACCTCCTTTGATCTACTGGTCAAGCTCCTTTTGAAGGAGCCAACACATGGGTGGCTTCTGGGCTGCGAGCGCACACTGAAGCCGACTCATATTCAGTTTCTCATTGACCAACAACCCCTAAGTCGTCCACAGGGATGCTCTCAATCACTTTTCCACCCAACCTGTAGCTGTGAGCCCTCTTGCCAATGGCTCTCCCCAGCCCCTACCTGGAAGCAGAAGAGGCAGACAGAGCAGATGACGAAATCCTCCCGGGAGGCTCCAGCGGCCGGCAGCACAGCCGTGAGGTCGTAGATTCCCAGCGTGAAGAAAAGGACAAAGCCGAGCAGGTGGCTCCAGATGTTGACGGTCTCGTTGGAGAGGATGAAGAGACTGTGAGGAGACACAACGGGGGTGAGCCGGGGTCTGGGCACGGGACGGGTCGGGGGGTGTATCCTCACCTCTTGAGGCAGAGGCGGGAGGGTAGGTAGGCCCGGTAGCCGTCGGTGATGTAGGGGTTGTCCTTCAGGAAGACGGGGATCTGCTCGTAGGTGTAGAGGCGTATGCCACGGGGCACCAGCACCGGCCAATACTGGTAGCTCCCCAGCTCGATGTAGTGCGCGCTCCGCAGCAGCTTCTGGTGCATCCTGCCCGCCGCACCGGATGGGACCTAAAGCTCCCGGCCCCCCTCCGCGGGGACGGGACCTCAGGGGCACCGGCCGAGCGACGCTGGCAGCGGAGCAGCCGCGGCGACTAGCGATGACGTCACAGCGCCGCGACGGCGCCGGCGCTGTATCGGCAGTGCGCGGCGCCGGGCAGCTGGCACGCGGGGGCGCTGTTCTCCGGGGCACGTGCTGCGGCAGTTGGCAGGACACCAACACCCCCCCACCTCCTCGGGTCCCGATCCCGTCAGGGCTGCGCGGCACCGGCTCCTCCCGCCGCAGGCTCCCCTGTCCCGGAGCGGAGGTACTGCAAGTAACAGCATTGCTTGGTAGTCATTGTGGGTACAGGTGATGCGGCCTTTACAGCTCTCGTAGTGTGCTTTGTATAGGAAGGTCGCTGTACGTTCCTGCCAGTCCTGTCACGGGAGGTTGTCTAAAGGAGATGGTCTAAAAGGTCCCCTCTGAGCCTTCTCTATTCTGGAGAAGAGAAGGCTCAGGGGGGACCTTATCACTCTCTACAGCCACATGAAAGGGGGTTGCAGTGAGGTGAGGGTCGGTCTCTTTTCCCAAGGAACAAGCAATAGGACAGGAGAAAAGAGCCTCAAGCTGTGCCAGTGGAGGTTCAGATTGGATATTAGGAACAATTTCTTCAACGAGTGGGTGTTCAGGTGTTGGAACAGGCTGCCCTGGGAATGGTGGAATCACCGTCCCTGGAAGTGTTCACAAACCGTGTAGATGAGGCCCTTGGTGACCTGGTTTAGTGGTGGCCTAGGCAGTGCCGAGGTAATGGTTGGACTTGATGATTTTAAAGGTCTTTTCCAACCTAGTTGATTCTGTGATTCTGATTGGGAATGAGAGATTGTGAAACTCAGACATTATGTAATCTCTGGTTAATTAAGATAATGATTGTTAGGTTGGTTGGTTTGTTTTGTCTGTACACTCTATGAAGTACCAAAAAAAAAAAATCTTAGTAGCGAAGAAGACTCTTCCAATGAGGCCCTGGTACAGGTTGCTCAGAGAAGCTGTGGCTGCCCCATCCCTGGCAGTGTTCAAGGCCAGGTTGGACGGGGTTTGGAGCAGCCTGCTCTAGTGGAAGGTGTCCCGTCCTATGGCAGGGGTTGGAACTGGATGAGCTTTAAGGTCCCTTCCAACCCAAACCTGTGATAGTTTGTGATTCTATGATTTGCTTGGCCTAAATAAGGAAAGTTATTGGTTGGTTGTCAGTTGCTTTCAGGTTTTTTGTTTCCTAATTTTAAAAAGAGTCAGAAAGCAGTAATTCACTAGATGTTGCCTGGCTCTAGTTTTCAGAGTTGGAATCATCTACCTGTGCCTCCTCTTCAGCCATGTGTCATGCCTAATTCTTTGACGTTTTTTTGCCTCATTAAACAACATGTGAGACCATTTCTCCAAGGCAGAGTGACAAGTATGAAATGTTTTCCCATGGAAGGGAGGTTTGTATTGTGAAGGAAAAGATTCAGGGTGATCAAGAGTGACAGTAAAGACCAGGTGTTCAGTACAAACATCTGTGCTTCCTCACCCCCAAATACACATGTTACACTCTTTGGTTACCCAAATTAAGTTAGTTTTAGTCAACAGCACCTCTCAAATGTCTCTATTAATCAATCATGCACTGAGATCTCTCAGTGTTCTGAAAGCTGTATACCTCCTGCCCATGCAGACCTGCTGACAGCACCTTGTGCCTTCTTCCTCCTCCTCAGCTGTTGTGCATGTTGCGTATGGCTTTCTCCTGCATGTACTGCAGTGCTCGGGAGAAACCCAGAGGAATTGTGTTCACTGTAAAAATTCAGCAAGGATTACCTTTAAGAAACTTCCTTGTGTTCTCCCCTTTCTGGGTTGTAGTTGAAGCATGTCTCTGAACTGTTCATTCCTATTTTACTTAGTTTCTGTCTTCTTTTCTGAATAGTTTCGCTGTTTCTGTTTGGATGTTTTTTTTCTTCCGTGTGAGCTTGCATTAAGAATAATTTAGAAAAGATACCTAGAGAAAATGCATTCCAAAAGAAGATCCTTATACATAGTTGTTCTGAGAGGAGGGGAGGGACCCCTGGCTATATTTAGGATGAAGCACAGGATATCCCTTCTTCCTGCAGCAGGGAGCCCAGTGTGATAACTCACCTCACAGAGTGCTGCAGGGCTGTGAAAAGCTAAGCTCAGGAGATGGCTCAGTGAGTCCCACATGTAACAGGGTCACAGAAGGATGAGAATTCAGATACCGGGGATTCCTAGAAATGCAGTCTTAAGAGGCCACAAAGCTGTTGTCTGATAGAGAAATAATTTGACAGGCTATTGATGGTTTTGTTCTGTGTCCTGGTTTGATCAACCTGGTGTACTTGGCAGCTAAAATTCCTGAACCAAACAACTGGGATCAAGCTAAGAGGAATGATATATGTGTGGTGGCAAAATTTTTCCTATTAAGTGTCCCACTGGCTTTTTTCTTTGCAGTGCTCACTGGGAGAATGAGGGAGGTAATCCAGGTTTATGCAGACACATGCATTTACAGGAATAAGAATATAGCTGCCACATGAATTAAGGGGAGTGAATCCTGCCCATCCTGAGGAGACTCTCACTGTGGTGAGCCTGAGCAGGGGCAGTCCCACTCCTGCCACCTCCCACTGACAGATGAAGAGCATCAGTGGTGACTCACTTTGCTAGAGCCAAATACAGCATAGAAAGTTGCTACCAAGTTAAAACCTTAATTAGCCTTAATTGTACACTGAATCATTAGCTCACTGAGAACATTATACCTGGAAAAAACACTTTGTTTCTAAGCCCTGTGCAATTTATATGAAATCCCAAGTGCTTCAAAGAGTTCAGTCAGAAGGAATCCGAGGAGCTGACAGGACTTTTTTTTTCTTTTAATAAGAGGAGCTTTAATTGGCTGTTAAGTTAAAGCTTTGAAGCTTTGAGAGGGGAAGTGTTATAGGTTAAATTAATAGGGGAAATTGAGAAACAATTAGGGCAGCTTTAAATTAATTATTTTCACTATTTATTTTTAGCTTATTGAACAATTGTGTCGAATGTGTGATTGAAATTAGCCATCTGTGCAAGATAGCTTTGACCTAAATTGACCTTCCTGGGTAAGTAAGTAGCTTGACCTAATTCCTGTACTGTATCCCTAATTTTACTGCCAGATAAGGTTAACTGGGAGCGACTGAGAGGTTCCATACTCTGCTGCTGAGCGGACGAAATCACCTGTGCAGAGGGAGGGAGGGAGGGAGGGAAGGCTTTCAAAGGGGAATGGTGGAGATCAGATGTGAGCTGAAGTGTTTCTTGTTAACCCAAACTAAGCACTGTGGGGTTCCCTTCTGTGCTCAGCAGCCTGCCTGGACATTGGGGCATGAAGTGTAACGCATAATTGCTGCTTAACTGCTGTTTGAGGAGGATGTGGGGAAGGACAGCACCTTTAGTTGAATTAACTGTAATCTGATGCTTTTTATGGCCTGTTCCATCCTGCTATGTTTGTTTCATGAAGAAACAGGGGGCAAGTGACTTGGAAGAAATATTGAAACAAAATACCTCAAATGTTCATGACACCATGGGAGCAAAAGAAAAAAGGGGGGTGGGGGTGTTCAATTTTGAAACTGAAAGGGTGAAAATAATTATCGGTGCTGTTTTTTGAGGCATTGAAATATTTTTCTCCCCTCCCCTTTCTTTCTTATCAGCAGGCCCACCGCAGAAGTGCTCTGCCGAAGGAGAGGGGCTGGTCGCAGCGGGCAGCGGCGCAGAGGACCCCGGGCAGATCACGGTCTTTGGCCCCGCTTCTGCCTGGCTCCTGCGCGACTCCTCCCGCTCCTGCTCCGCTCTTCCTCCAGGTGTCAGCCTGGCACTGCCGCCGGGAGCTGCCTCTGCTCTGCATCTATCTCCCAGTTCACGGGCTTCCTATCCTGGCAGGGCCATGGCAGTTCGTGTCAGGTCAGTGCTGGTGTTCCTGAAGTGGCTCGGTGTTTGATCCTCCTCTTCTGAAATGTCCGGCAAAACACCTCCTCCTCATTTTTTGCATGTGGGGATCTGGCTTTTCGAATGTTTATCACAAGCAAACAAATGGGAGGTGCCTGAGACTCCATTTCCCACTGCTGGAATCTGCTGCCATGAGAGAATTCAGCTTGCTTCAAGTTTTCCAGAAGAGACAGTTTAGTGCTCAGGAGGAAAACCTGTTATTGGTCTGAACTTTATTAGGACAATATATTTGGGAATGTTGATTGAAGGTATCACTTGTGCTTACAGCTGTGTCAGTGTATAGCTCAGTTTTGTTTGTATGTGATTAAAAATAATTATGTCTTCCCTGGGGATGGGAAGGAGGAGGTGTAGTTCAGAATACTCTGGTCAGGAGTATGTTTCTATGCATAGCCTGTGAATAAAATACAGGTACTGATTTATGTTTGTAGAGACCATTTATGTGTATAAAGCACTTGTGGCTTTGTATTGGTGTGCAAAGAAGGCTTGCAAAGGGCCATGTACAGAAATCCCTGCTTCCTGACAGTTACATCAGGAGACTGAGAGATTTAAAGCCCTTTGCCACGTAAAACAGATAGATCCTGTCTCATCCTTTCTTGGAAGTAGCCAAAGCATCTGTGAAATTAACTACCTCGTGTTGGTATGCAGTGGAGTTGCGTTTAAGGAAATAAGGTTCATGTTTTCATGGAAGTCAGAGTCTTTGATAGAATGTGTGTGGGGAAGCATGGAAATCCGGGACACCCCCAGTCCACAGACTCCCTTTATGAGAGAGCATTAGGAACATGAGTACCTTGTGTTTGAGAATTAGAGTGACCGTATTCCTAAGCAAGCTTGATTTCAAGACCCTCTTCCCTGCAGACTCAGCTTTCTTCTGGTCACTCTCTCCACTAGGATTTGTGTGGTATATGATTTCCTATAGCGTGTTCCTCAGCGTAGAGCCTGAGTAGCTTCCAGGAGTGCCCAAAACAGACAGCTTGACATCTGCTATGGGGGTTCAGGCTTCCTCTGCTCTCCCTGTGGAGAGATGTATGTGTGATGTGTGCAGTCAAGTGACTTGTTTTGGTAGGGCTCTTCCTTCTTTTTTA